CCCCCTTCCTGTCCCTTAAATAGAGGAATATTATACTTGAGGGCCTGATTTCAGGACTCATTTGTTTGTTTATTTGTTTTTGTTGTTTCTCATTCTGGACCTCACTTTTCTCTTACAGTCTAATGATTTCAAGTTCTGCCTACTACTGTGTTCTGTTAGCATAGGAAACATAACAAGTTGTACAAATAGTAACATCACATTTAAGCAGGTAGCCAAATTCCATGAGGAGGTGTGGAAGTCCTAGCCTCAAATTCTAAAAATGCTCATCTAAAATTTTGTTAGTGCTCTATTTTACATCTCAATATATAACAGTCATTAGCATTTTTGAGCATTTAGTATGTGCCAACGACTCTCCTCCATTCACTTCCCCAAGGCCCTAGCTACTCTAGTTCTTAACCCTAACACATGGAAATAGGCATTCTTTACTAAGTTAAGCAATGTTTTCAATACTTGTTTACCAAGAAGTTCTGTTCTCATTTTTAAAATTTGGTGCAATTTCATCCTTTTAATCGGATAATGTAACAAATTATATTGGCAGTATCCTAATGTAGAACCATCCTTGTATTCACCTACAACTTTTTTATTCTTTTAATACATAGATTCATTGTGTTCATACTTAAGATTTTATCATTAAAATCACAAATGAGATTGAACTGTGATTGTTTTTCTTATGTCTTTATCACATTTTATCACATTTAATATATTATACTATTACTGCCTCAAAACCTTTCATGTTGACAGCATCTAGCATTTTTTTACTTACACATGCCTTTTTACTGAGCCCAAGTGGCTGAATATAGAAAAATGTCTGAAGCAGTTGTCAAATAGAATCGTCCTCCATCTCTGTTCTTGGAAGCAATATGAAATAGTCCCTTTTAGACCTGAGACCTGCTTTAGTTATGCTGGAAAAAGAAATGGGTGTGTACTTTGCCCTCAGAGGATTTATTTATAGTATCTAACATTTTAATGTTGGTTAATAAGTAAAATCACCTTCCCTTTCTTTTCTTTCATCTTTTCTTAACTTTTTTTTTTTAGGTTTCTACTTTTGTTTATTGTAAATCATGTTGCTGTTTTCTTTTAAAATACAGAAAAACATAGGCATTACCAAGATACTTAAATAATTTATATTTCTCTTCCAGCAACTTTTAGATGTCTTTATCCTTTATCCTCCTCTTATTGGAGTACTTTCACCAAAATTATTGTCAATCTAAATCTTTGTGTAACAAATTGTATTAGTCACTTCCCTACCCCTGGGACAAAATACCCGACACACACAACTTCAGGAAGAGAGGTTTATTTTGGCTCATGGTTTCAGAGGCTTCAGTGCATGTTTGGTCTGCTGGCTCCATGGCAGAAATGGGCTTGTCAAAAATGAAGGAAAGATACTCATTCCCCTCATGGCATCTGGGAAACAGAGCACAAGAAGAAACCAGAGAGAGACCTATACCTGCCACAGGCACGCCCACTATGATCCGCCTCCTCCAAAAGGAGTCGGCCTTTTAACAGCACGTTCAGCTATGAGCTCCTTAGTGGATTAATCCATTTTCAAAGTTAATATTCCCATGATCTACTCATTTTCCAAAAGCCACACCTATGAACACATTGAGCTTGTTCTGGGACATTTTTATCCAAATCATAACGTTTGGTTATACTCACTTGTTTTTTTAACAATAATAATATACATTGTTTATTGTCTACATAGTAGTTATTCAGAGTACAAGATATGGGCATGAAATATTGTCCAAACAATATTAGCACAGACCTTTCTTTTCAATGAACTAAGAGAAACTAGTTATATTACTATCTCTACTATTTTTATACTCACTTATTAACACAAATAATTTATCCTTAAACTACTTTAGATTTATTTCATATTTTCTACCTGTATAGCCATGTCACCTATAGATAATGAGAGCTTTACTACTTCCTTTGCAGTATGCATTATATTTTTCTTTCCTTACAGTACTGGTAACAACCTTCCATATGTTCATTGGAAGGTGCTAGCCAGGTTCAGGGCTGCATGTCTATACTTCTAGTATTTGGGAAGCTGAAGCAAGGCTCTGTGGTATGGCCTATAGTCTCAGCTATCTGGAGAGCTAAACTAGAAGAATTTTTTGTTTGTGTTTTATCTTTACTTATTTATGTTTTGTGGTGGAGGATTAGGCCTTGCACACGTTGGGGTTGATGCTCTGCCACTAAGCAGCACTCACAGTCCAGCTAAAGGAAATGCACCAAGCTCCAGAATGGTCTAGTTCCAGTCTTAACTTTCATGGATGCCTCAATTTAAGGGGTAGGGGAGCCTAGGATCCTTAACCACCTATGTCTAACTAGGAGGGGCCTTATGTCTCTCCTTGGTGAGCTACTCAAGAGGTAGGAGTGCTATAGAAGGGGCCATTCTAACAGTGGTACTGGGAGCGACACTCCCTTTGTTCTCCAAATCTCTCTTTCTCTGCCACCTGTCCTTTCTGCACATGTATCACCTGTTATGTTCCTTGTAGCAACCTTTCTTTTAATTTATGATTGGTTTCCTTTTTAAACCTTAAGCTGTATATTTCTTCTTGGAGAACACGCTTCAATTTTTGTCTTAAAGCTTTCCTTTTATTTTCTAGTCAAGTTATAGAATTTACCATTATTTTTCTATCTTTATTTCAAAGGATTTAGGGAAAGGAGGGGCTAACATTTGTGCTCCGCCTCTCATCTTGACCCAGAAGCCTGTATATCATAATTAATGGTAAAGAATGTATAGAAGGCTTTGTCCCCATTGAATGCTTTTGCTTGAAAGCAGAACTGCATGTGGAGTTGTAAAAAATGGTAAGAGCATCAAGAGAAAAGTGCATGGTGCAGCACCGGTGATGAAGGTGTCTTTTTTCAGGTTTGTCCTAGGTGCAGTCTCCCCTGCAGTTGTGGTCCCATCCATGCTACGCTTGCAGGAGGCAGGGTACGGCATAGAGAAGGGCATCCCCACTGTGTTGATCGCTGCCAGCAGTATGGATGACATCGTGGCTATCACAGGGTTCAACACATTCTTGAACCTCATCTTCTCCCAAGGTGAGCAAGAAATTCCAAACCACTGTATCATTTGTGACCTTTGTACCTCTTCAAGCAAGGTTTCAGGCTTTACCTCTTCACTTATGAACTAAGACTTTTCAACTTCACATCTTTTTATTCTTCATAGAAAGCTCATCCCAGGTCAAGGAAGAAATTTCAAGGGTTAAACACTTAGCAAAGTGGTTTTTTTGTTTTGTTTTGTTTTTTGTTTTTTTTCGGAACTGGGGATTGAACTCAGGTCCTTGCGCTTGCCAAGGAAGCGCTTATTCTACTGAGCCATCTCCCCGGCCCAGCAAAGTGGTTTTAACAGGAAACATTTTGATTAATTTGATAATTCACGTCATTACTGTTTATCTGTTCATGGTGCTTTGGAATTTTATCACAATTTTCACTAAGAAAATGTGGAGCATCAGTATCATTAGTACTACTAGTACTTTAATAGGTATTTTGAAATGTTCCTTTTCAGTTATCCTAACAAATCACTGATTACTCTACATTAAGACAATATAAACACACAAAGTGGGGATAACCATGTGCCTCTTTGAGTAGTGGTAGAGCAAGATCCAAGAACACCAGTTCGATTTCCATATTTGCTAATGCTTTAATTATCTGCAGTATTTGAAATTCAGTCTTCTGTATTACTTAAGCATGAAAATGAATGAGTAGGGGGCCGGGGAGATGGCTCAGTGGAATAAGTGCTTCCCTGGCAAGCGCAAGGGCCCGAGTTCAATCCCTGGTTCTGCCTAAAATAAAATGAATGAGCATTGGGGGTATTAAACAGCTATTCATGTGTGCTGGCCATTGGCATTATGGAATGTTTGGTGAATTGCTTCTCTTCAAAGTCTTTTTCCTATCACAGATGTGTTCATCTTTTGTTCTTTTTGATGTGTCAGGATTCTGAATAAAATTAAGAATAGGGCCAGGGAGATGGTTCAGTAGAGTAAGTGCTTCCCTGGCAAGTGCAAGGGTCTGAATTCAATCCCAGTTCTGCCAAAAAAAAAAAAAAAAAAGAATAATAACCCTTTGTTTTACATACTATATTTTGTATTTGTAATTTGCCTTTTTGTTTTCTATTTTTGCCATTCATAAAATTTAAATTTTGTATGAATTCTGGCCATGGTTTTCCATGATTGGTATCATTCATTCCTTCAAAAGTATTTTTTTAGGCCTCTTCATTATGCCAACCTCTGTGCCAAACACTGAAGATAAACAGTCATGTATGGATGACTTTCTCTTTGAAGATGAGGAAACTGAAAAATAGAAATCAAGTAACTTGTTCAAAATCATAGATGCTATAAGTAAGACAGCCAAAATATAAATTTACCAGTGTAACCCAGAGCTGCATATGTGACTACATTTTATACTGCCCCTCAACACAGCAGATGGGCAAGTCCAAATGACCTGTGTTTTCCCAAAGCTTAAGTTAAATGAATAATCTCAAATATAATGAATAATTTATAGCAGAGGGTGACATCAATCCTCATTTGAGGTAAACCAAAGAAAGTGAATAACCAAGCAAGACCGCATCTTAATATTCCTTTCCTACCTTCTGACTCTGTAACTTCCATGTAAAATTTTAAAGATTTTTAAGAATTGATGTTGTGTAGTACATCTTCCATATATCTGTATTTTGGAACATGGCCTATTTTGAGCTCTAAATTCACTTTTATATAACTAATACTACTTTCAACCTTCTTGTTGGATATTGCATCTTTGTCATATCACCTTTATTATACACAAATTCCTAAATACATATTCTACCAAATATATATACTATGATCTCCAAGGAAAAAGAAAAATAACAAGTGTCTGGAAAGGGATGGCCACCACTTTTAGCAACTCTTATAATTGCATATGCCAAACACAAGTTGTATTAATCTCATGATATCTCAGTAAATTTAAAAGTATATAGACATCTTTTGTAGACTTTGTGTACTAAGTTGGTTGGTTTCCATTTTTCATGGTTCTGCTTTTTATTGTAATGCTAGCTCTGCTGCTAGCTATCTGGTCAATTCCCTTTCCATCATTATCAAATGTCCTTGTGTCTTGTGATAGTGTGTGATTTCAAGTTTGTCTAAGTAGACACTCCTCTTCTCTTTTGATGGCCATTTGTGTGGAATATATTTTTCCATCTTTCACCTTCAATCTCTAAGTCCTTAACTCTAAAGTGAGTTTCTCATCCAGAACATATAGTGTGGTTTGAATCTTGCTTTTTAATCAATTTGTCATTTGCCTAGAGAACTTATCTGTGGAACATTTGCAGTAATGCCTGAAAAAAGGTTTTATGCTTGCCATTGTATTTATGCCTAATTCCCATGTTGTCCCCTTTTCCTCTCCTGCCCCTCCCTTCCTGTTTTAGTTTTATTTATTCATTTATTTATTTGGTACCAAGTCTTGCTACACAGCTTGGACTCATACCTATCCTCTTCCCTCAGCCTCCCCAACCCTGGGATTATAGGCATGCACCACTATGTCTAGTTTCTGTGGCCTGCCCAGCATGCCCAGGGTTCCAGGGCAGGAATCACATGCAGTTTGGGTCCAACCTGGGTCCTTGCACCTGCCAGGTAGGTACTTAGATCGCTGACCTATCTTCCCAGCCCCTGCATTTTAACTTTTTATAGACACTTCGATTCTTTTGTCATTTTCATTTCTTTTTTTTTATTGTTAATAATGTATTTGGTTGTTACAGGGTCTCACTACACAGCTCGGGCTAGTGGTGATCTTCCTGCTTTCAGCCTCTTCAGCACTGGGATTACAGGCATGCACCACTGCACCCAGACTCTGTAGTGGGCTCAGCCCTCCCTGAGGGCAGGGCTGGCATGGCATGTGGTGCCAGGAATCAAATTGCAGTCCCTGTACTTGCCTAAGCTTGCCTAAGTAGGCACTTTAGTCTGCTGAGCTATCTCACCAGTCCCTGTCATTTTCATCTCTATATCTTCTATAGGTCTTTTATTTGTTGATCCATAGAATTATATAGAATACGTTATGGTTATAATAGTTTGTTTTAAACCAGTAACACTTAATCTCTATGTGTCTTGGATACTTTTCTCTTGTTACTGAGATAAAATACCTGATGCCCAAAGTTAAGGAAGGAAAGGTTTATTTAGCTCACAGTTCGTGGAGGTTTCAGTCCATAACTAGCTTATGGACTGTCCCCTTTTCCAGAAATAAAAGAGAAACAAAGTCTTCTGCAGATTCAGAAGCCTCTGACACAGCACAGGGGCAACAGTTCATAGCAGTTGAAAACAACAAGAGCAAAAGAGGGAAGCAAGCCTTTCTTCCTGGCTCTTACTGTATGCCAGCTGCCTGCCCTGGGCAGGTGTAGCACTCATATACGCTAGATTCAACCCCCTCCAAAACACCTGTCCCCATGAGGCTTTGGGGTGACATCCAGACACAAACCATAACACTACTCCTTTACATTTATTTCTCTGCACTTTAATGTCACAAATTGCATATTTTATATTGTATATCTGTTCACATGGTTAATACATTTATTTTTATCTTAAAATTCCATATTTGCATTAAAAGTTCTTCACTTACCAGCCTAACAGTATTGCAAAATTCTGTAATGGTCTATAGGTTCAGCCTTAACATAAAAGCTTGTGCTTTGTACACTTGTGTGTGTTGTCCTATAAGTTCTGCTTCTCACCTCCTGTAGGCCAGATCCAGGGCTGAACTCATTCATTTCTCACGAATCTGCAAAAGACTTTGCTTCCCTTTTATTTCTGGAAAGTGGGTTGGATTTGCTGAGCCCCTTACTCTTAGTTAGCAGGGTTACCTTTGTCCAGCATTCCAGGTGCATTACCCACCCCACTGGGCCTGTCGGGTGTCTAATTTTGCAGCTACCTCGTAGAAGCTCCTATGTGAAGCAAAGTCCTTTGTCCTGCTGCCTTCAAGACCCATTTGCCTTTTTTTTTTTTAATGGTTTTATTTATTTATTTATTTATTTATTGTGTGTGTGTGTGTGTGTGTGTGTGTGGCCTGCTCAGCCCACCAGGGGGCGGGGCTGGCTGGCATGTGGTGCTGGGGGATCGAACCGCGGTCCCTGTGCTTTGCCAAGCGTGTTCCAAGTAGGTGCTTTAGACCACTGAGCCATCTCTCCAGCCCCCCCATTTGCCTTTGACTTTGACAGTTTGGTGCCAATGGCTTGTTTTTTGATCTCTCTGTTTATCCTAGTTGGTTTCCTTGAGCTTTCGCCTGTGTCACTTTCTTCCTTACAATTGAGAAGCTTGAGGCTGTTCTTCATCTGTCTTCCTTTCTGACACACCACCGTGCATATACTGCTCTGCCCCATGGCAGCCTGTAGGGCTGAAGCACCCCACAAATAAACTACTTTCCATTTTCCTGAATCTTTTTTGTGCTTAATCAGCCTACTGTCAATGCCTACTGCTGAAATTTTCAACTTTAATATTGTACTTGTCAGTTTTAGAGTTTCTGTATTTTTTTTTACCCTCTCTGTTGATATTCTCCTTTTGTTTGTGCATTGTTCCCTGATTTTATTTAGTTGGTCTTCTTGTTCCTACAGGGCTTAAGATATTTTTATCTATTTGTTTTATCATTTGTTTGTTTTTCCAGTGCTAGAGCTTAAACCCAGGGCTCCAGGCATGCCAGGCAACAGCTCTACCACTACGCAACCTCCCTTAGCCTTACTTTGAGTCTTTGTCCATTGACATTTCCTTATGTCAATTTCTGGAAATTTGGTTGTTCCTTTGAGTTGGTCCTTAGTTCCGTTTCTGTGTATGTGCTATAACTCATTACTCCAGGGTTTGCCATTTGAGGAGACTGCATCTCCTGCGGTCATTACTGTCTGATATCGTGCTAATGACTGACCAAGGCTGGCCTCTGGGCACTGCGGTTGTGACAGCTCCAGGTTTATGTGTGCAGTACTCCATTCAAATCAGCTTCTCAGTGCCTTTCTCTGGAGCTTTTGTTCCCTGTTCTCTTTACACTGTAGGTTCCCTGATTTTTGGAGCCATCTCTGGCCTCTTTGTTCTCAGGTTTGGAGGCAGGATGGAGAGGCTGGTGCCTTGGATAACCTCTAAAAAAATATTCCTTTCTCCTGGTCTCCTCCCAATGGAGAAGTGGCAGGGCTGGTGTTTTCCCCCAGTTGTTCCAACTGTGCCGACTTAGGGAAGGACTCCGACAGGCACCATGCAGCAGCTGCTCTCACCGTCCAGGTCACTCATCCTGGCTCTGCACACACCTGGGCTACTGCACTTCTTCATGGTCTGTGTTGCCCTGAGCCTTTTGAACCATATACTGATGCTCGCTCCACTCTGGAGGTGATCAGGGTTTGGGCTCCCCATTCCACCACTCTTTCTATTATTTTTATTGAAAAAAATCTTAAAATATACATAAACATCCTTTAGTGCAATGATGATGAACCTTTTAGAGATCTGTGCCCAAAATACAACCCAAAACCCACTTATTTATCACAAAGTGCCAACATCATGATTAAACCTGAATGCTAAGCTGTGGGGGCAATGCTGGGGCAACAGTTCAAGTGCTGACAGAGAGAGCTCTGGATGCCCCCTGTACCGTGCAAGCCATAAATCTGCCACCACTTCTTCAACACGTCAAATACCCAGAGCATATTTTACTCACTATTGTGAACTACAAATGTGAATACATAATATCTATGGATAAAATGTGTATTGGAAACTCAGTTGCTCCTTGGCTAGTTCTAGGCTCAACCCTGGAGTAGAAGTATTTTCTTTGTTGATAATGTTGCCATGTTGCATAGTGGATCAGAGAAGTATTAATATAACCTTACTAGCCCCACGCCAAGAGCCAGTCTTCCCTGTTGTTTTCTCCTCATACTTCCACCTCACTTTGTTTCACAAGTGAGCATGCAAGAGGTGTACACTGTGGCTTATTACTTAGTTGTTTTATGGCCCACACAGTGGAAATTTCTGAGGTTTTTCTATATTTTAAACTGCATGAGAGTAAACATTTAATTCAATTAGATCCAAATATGTTTTCACATGTATCACTGTCAAAGGTCCAGTTTACTTATTTGGTTAACAGAATGTTCCTTTTCTTTATGAACTATATAGGTTGGATTTTCTGATGTGAAAATATTTCTCTGTGAAAAGTATGTTTTATTGTGTGCCCTTACAGGTAGCATACTTCATAATGTGCTATCAACTTTATGGGACGTACTTGTTGGTGTGCTGGTAGGAGTTGTTTTGGGAGTTTTTATTCAGTATTTTCCAAGTGAAGATCAGGTAAATTTAAAAATTCATGTGTTCTGTAGAACTGCAGGATGTTAGTTTCCATCACCACAATGAACAGCCTGAGATAGTTAACTTACAAGAGGAGGTTTACCCTGACGCACAGTCTGAAGGCTCCTTTCCATGATCAACTGTTCCATCACTGTGGGTGTATATCAGCAAACCAAATCCATTACCCTTAGGAGCCAGGCTGCAAAAATGAGAGGAAGGGCCTGGGGTCCCACTGTCCCCTCTGGGAGCATGCCCGCAGTGGCCCGAGGACCTCCCACAAGGTCTGCCCCAGTCCCTCTACCTAAGAATCATGCCTCCAACAACATCTAAGATACAGCATGATAGACATTTCTTTCCAAGGGTAGAACTTTGGAAAAGTTGGAGGAAAATGTTGAATTGCTCACATCACCTTCTCCCCTAACGGAGCCCTTCGTGCCTACTGTCTGCTTAGAACTGAGCACATTGGTGTTTGGTACAGGCTGACAGTGGCCTTGACTAATGTCTCTCCTTCCTAATTAGTCAAATAAGGAGTATCAGAAAACTGTACTTAAATCTGAGTATCTTTCCTCATCCTGCCCCACCCTTTCTCTACTAGATTACTTATTAAGTTTGGCAATTTTTCCTAATCTTTTTTCTCCAAAGCTTCCTTGAACATTTTAGGAAAAAGATAGCTTCAGGATCAACATTATTAAAATGAGCACTTTCCTGCTCTAAAGGATATGCCATTATTAGTGTATTTTGATACCTTCCACCCTAACTTACCTGTAACAACTAATTTTTTTATTCTTTCTTTTATTTATTTATTTGGTACAGGGTCTCAATATGCTGCTCAGACTTATAGTGATCCTCTTGCCTCAGCCTCCCCAGCGCTAGGATTACAGGCATACACCACCATGCCTGGTCTCAGTGGCTAACATGGCATGCATTACCAAGGATCAAATCCAGGTCCTTGTGCTTGCCAGGCAGGCGCTTAGACCACTGCGCTATCTCGCCAGCCCTATAACCATTATTTTGATGAAAGAGATATTAAAAATTTATCTTTAAAATTTTGGTGGACAGCTTCTATAGAACTAAAGATTTTATAGATCTCCCCTTCACTATTATAACTACATTTAACTCTCATGCAGTTAAAATATTATAGCCATTTTATTGATACCAGTATCAGATATATATCAGAAAATGAAAGTTTAATATTTGTAAATTTTATTACTAGAGATCAAGTTTGATGAAATACTTAGGAAGTAAATCAACATTTTAGACACTAACATATTGAGGGACATACTAGCAAAAGGTTAAAAACAAATGATAAATGATTAAAACTCTTACATATTTAATATAAACCAATTTCTAAATATTTGTTTCTAGGAAAAAGTGCCAATGAAGAGAGCATTCCTTATTCTGAGTATGGCTGTTTCTGCTGTGTTAGGCAGCCAGAAAATTGGTTTACACGGAGCTGGAGGATTGTTCACGCTAGTGTTGTCTTTCACAGCAGGGTTAAAATGGGCCAAGGAGAAGGTGAATATTTTTTACAAGATAAAATAATTATATATATATATATATATATATATATATATATCAGGGCATTGTATGTATCAGTCAAGGAACTAAAATATTTGGGAAAAGTACCTAGAAATGTACTAAAGTGCATTTAGAAATAGTCATTATATCAAGTTTCATGTTTTATATGATTATATAACTTAGTAATGTAATTACTTCACTCATTAAAATTTTACTTATACAGTTCTTCCATGGAAACATTTTTTAAATGTATTTGGTATAGGTACTCATTATGCAGCTCACACTCATAGTGATCCCCCTGTTTTCAGCCTCCCCAGCACTGGGATTACAGGCCTGCACCAACATGCTTGGTCTCAGTGGCCAGCTCCGTGTGCCCCGTGTGGGGCTGGCACAGCATGTGGTGCCAGGGTCAAACCCAAATCCCCGTGCTTACCTAAACAGGCACTTAGTCTGCTGTGCTATCTCGCCAGCCCTCCATGGAAACATTTTTATAAAATATTAAAACTTACTGAATAAAATGCAGAAGATTCTTTCAACCTGCACCATTCCTAAATATCTAAATCCCTTCCCAAAATTATTTCTTCTCTCTATAGACATTTAGATTTTTTTCCATTTTTAACCAAAAAAATCCTGCTATGAATAGTCTTATTCATATGTTTTTTATACACACTTCTTCGAAGTAGTTGCCTGGAATAGAATTTATAGATTAAGAAATATAATCTTTTTCTTTTGATAAGTACCGCCAAATTATCACTTTAAAAGATTTTCATTATTCTGCCAACAGTACAAGAGAATGTCTCACATCTTAAGTAGTGTCTATTTTTCTCATAGCCACCTGGGTAACATTTTTTTTTTTTTTAACATAGGGTCTAACTATGCAGTTCAGGCTAATCTTGAGCTCACTCTGTAGCCCAGACTGGTCTCAAACTCCCAATGTTCCTCCTTCCTCAGCCTCCCTAATGCTGGGACTATAGGCATGCACCACCATGCCTGGCAGCATATTCGTTTTAAATTGGTATCCTTTGTCCATTCCTATTGGTGTATTTGCCTTTTATAATTTATAGTTTCTTCTTTTATGGCTGCTGAAAAATATACACATATATCATATATATATAGCATATATATGTATATATAATAACATCTCATATAATTTTTGCTTATCTTCAACTTTGTGTATGGCATTACTTGTATGAAGTTTTATAAGAAAATTTTCTATTAATATTTCCTATAAATTTCCTATAGCCAAACCTATCAGATTTTCCTTTTTGATTTTAGACTCTGTATCTTGTTTAAGAAAGACTTCCTTATTCAAGATTTGAACATTATGAACATTATGATTATATACTATTTTCTATACTACCACCTACAACTCTGGTAGTTTTTTATTAGTACATATTTGTGATATATAAAAATAACATTTATCGTGGGGCAGATGGATGGATGGATGGATGGATGGATGGATGGATAGACAGATAGATTTGTTGTATCTTTATCATTTTTGGTCCCCTACCCTAGTGAAGACAAGCTTTTAGAGCTTTCAGTGATATAAATAGAGCCAGTGAGATAGCTCAGTGGACTGAAGCACCTTTTTAGATAAGTGTAGGCAAGGACAGGGACCGCAGTTTGGTCCCAGGCACCTCATGCTGTGCCAGCCCCACCCCCAGGGCCAGAGTCCGGTTGGGCATAGTGGTGCATGCCTATAATTCCAGCGCTGAGCAGTCTGAAAACAAGAGGATCACCACGAGTTCAAACTGTGTAGTGAGATCCTGTAACAACCAAATAATTTAATTAATTAATTAATTAATTAAACAAATAGCCAGCTGTGGCATGCATGCCATAAGTTTGCCACCACTGCCCTACTCCTTTCTCCCTTTCCCCAAATTCCTTTACTCCTTTGCAAAAGAAAAAAAAATCTACCAGTTTTTTAGTATCTCTCTTTTATTTTGGTCTTTATGTTTTGGGTCGCTTATATAAGAGAAGCCATGTGATATTTAAGCTTCTGTGTCTAATTAATTCCATTTAATATTATGGTTTCAAGATCCATCTCTTTTCCCCCAAATTACTCAGATTTACCTTTGTGGCTAAGTAATACTTTTTTGCATATGTTTACCACATTTTCTGTACATTTATCTGTTGATAGGTATAGAGGCTGTTTCTGAAATCTACCTGTTATGAATACTGTTGTTATAAGCATCTATCACTG